GAGCGGCGATCAGAATCGATATGCCTCAAGAAAACTACAAACATCAAAATGCCCGTGCCCTACGTCATCTACGCCAACTTCGAAGCTCTCACCAAACAGGTGAACACCGTTGTGCCATCCCCGGAAAAAGTTTCACGTACAAAACGCAAGAACACCAAGCCTGCAAGTTCGGGTAATGCGTGGTCGTCCGATGCGATGGAAAAACAGAACCACCTGTGATTTATCGAGGGTCGGTGGCCAATACATTTCTCATGTTCTTACAACAGGAAGAGAGAAACATCAGGGAAGCTTTGTCAGATCCTGCATCCATGGATATCACGCTGGAGGATGAGTTCGCTCATCACGTTGAAAGAACGTGAGAAACGTTTTGGCCACGCCGGGACCTCGGTACATCACCGGTGGTTACGTTTTTCCAGATTTATTGATAGTGCTCAGTTCCTCCTGTCGTCGCTCGACAGTTTGGTCAAGGCCAATGATACCTTTGCCATCACCCATCGATACACCGATGAGGCAACAAGGCCTCTTCTGCTCAAAAATGGCGTGTACCCGTACGAGAACATGGACGATTGGACCAAGTTCGATGAGACGCGATTACCTCCCTCGACCAATTTTACAGCAACTTAACCGAATCCTATATCTCCCAGGACGATTACGAGCACGCCAAAAGGTATTGAACAAACTGGGTTACGAGAATCTGGGCGACTACCAAGACCTGTACTTGAAAACGTGCTCCTGCTGGCCGACGTGTTCGAGACGTTCAGAAAAACGTGTTTGAAACAGTATCAACTCGACCCCGCGTGGTACTACACCAGACCCGGTCTCTCGTGGGATGCGCTCTTGAAGAAAACGGGCGTCAAACTGGAATTGTTCACCAAATACTACATGCATCTGTTTGTCGAGAAAGGCATTCGCAGCGGGATTTCCATAATAATAATAAGGGTGAGCACCTGGTCGCGGTAAGCAGCAGCTGTGAGGTTTCCACGGAAGACCAGAAGTCGGGAACGGTTGTTCCATCAGAAAGCACAGCCAACAACCCGTACGTGAAAACTACGATTCGAACAAGCCCACCAATCATCTCCTCTATCTTGACACCAACAACCTGTACGGCCGTGCTATGAGTCAGTATTTGCCTACAGGCAGGTTCGAATGGGTTAATAGCGAGCGTTTTAATCCGAAGAACATTATGGCCATCTCCGACAACTTCGTGATAGGCTACCTGCTTGAAGTGGATTTTGAGTACCCCGAAGCATTGCACGAATTGCACAACAGTTATCCGCTGGCTCCCGAACGATTGATGGTCGATCGAGACTGAATCTCTGACTATCAGCGAGACTTGTTGGGAGAAAACACCCTGGCTAACGTAGAAAAACTCGCCCTGAACTTGATGAACAAAACCAAGTACGTCGTGCACTATCGCAACCTGCAGCTGTACCTGTCGTTGGGTATGAAGCTGATCAAAATACATCGGGTGCTCAAATTCGATGAAAAAACCCTGGATGGAACCGTACATTCTGTTGAACATTGAATTGAGAAAACGAGCCACGAGCGACTTCGAAAAAAACCTCTACAAACTCATGAACAATTCGGTATTCGGCAAAACCATGGAAAACTTGAGGAAACGAGTTAACGTGAAACTCGTGCGATCACACCAGGAGGAAAAACTCAGAAAACTGATCGCCAGTCTGGCATTCAACCGAAGCAAGATATTTGACGACGACTTGGCAATGGAACAGCAAACAGCATGAAATCTCCAAAGTGACATTTACAATAAACACATACATGGTCATTACTTCAATTGTTCTCGTCACAAAAAATGCATGTTCATAAAAATACAAATTACAAAATGCCATTGATGACGTATTCAGTCAGTTTGTTTCTATAAGCTAAAATGGAACAGGGTTCGTACAGGTCCTCAACCATCAAATTTAAGGCCTTTTCAGGGGCTTTTCAAGACCCGATCAACAAATTTAAGGAGCTATAGAAATACATTTAACACATAAGTAGTTGAATATACACAAGATTGGTCAAATGTGGGACCGACCATCAGGGGTAAATAGCATTTAGCTACATCGCTGCACTGGGAAAGTTTGGCTTCGGGATCGAAATTACCACGCCCACTGTATAAAGTGTCCTGCAAAAACATAACTTGACACGTTTTGATAAAGTTAGGACCGTTTTATTGCAAATCATTGGTGATTAGGACCTTTTCAAGACTGAAAGGAATTGAGGAGCTTTGTTGGGTAAAATATCCAAATTTCAGGCTTTTTCAAGACTGTGTGCACCCTGTAAAAAGAATACCTATTATTGTTTCTTTCTGAGCATTAATACATTGTGAAATGAGTCATTGCATTTCACAATAAGATATTTAAAATAATGATAAAAATACTATGTATATTCTTTGTATGCATTATGAAAAAGAATTAAATTGGCTAATTAAAATGTTTACTAAAATATCATTTTGTTAAAAACAACATCATTTCTGACAAATTTCAATGACTGGGGTAGTTTGTTAGCTCCAAGTATACACAATAAAGAGTATCTGATGTATGCTTCATTGTATTTCATCATTACAGATTGTATAATGAACAACTGACTTCCCATATTTCTGATTTGAGTAAAAGCAAAACAAATCAGGGTGCTGTCACGTGACCTCGATTTCTCAAAATAGGACCACCTTTGACCACCACATCACGGCACATCATAATCTACATACAATAAGCTTTCCAAAAGCTATAATATGTCGATACAAGAGATGGGGGCATTAAGTCGACTCTAAACCATAGCCCACTGCTCTCCTAAAAGACTTGAGATTGATTTCTAAGTGGGTTTCTATTTCTCACATGCGTTTTGTGAGGGATGACACTGCACCCCTTATTTGACTCATAAGGCATGTCACTGCTTCGAGTATGATAATGTCACTTTGCCTACCTTCCGACATCTGACAGTCTGTGTGTTCACCTCTAACGGTAGTGGGATGATTCACATGCACTTCTGCTTCTACATATGTACATGTAAACATTCGCTAAGCTGCTTGTTTTATCGTGAGAAATGGTTTCAGCTTTCTTACTTACACCAACTGTAATGTTTGACTCTTCCGTAACTTCCCCAGAGTGTAACCTTTTCCGCCCATGTTGTATCCCATGTTACCTTAATGGGGGCCGCCATTGCTTTTCCAACGGTGCTCCTTCTCGTCCCATGCACACCTCTGAATGGCTGAATACAGTGTTTGTTGTCCTGTACTACTGAATACAAAGTGTTTGCAACGTACTACACCACTGTCTGCCACTTTACAACACAGCTGATATCCGCCAGGTCGAACAGACAGTTAGAAGTCTTTACATTCGCTGTTATACTCAGATTGCATGAGAACTTTCAAAACGACCCATAAATATTCATGCGATACCAGTGGCGGATACAGCTCTTGAGGAGGGGTGGGGGTTTATTTTCACCGTTTTCACAATATATAAACTGGTTATTTAATAAACTTGTGATACGTGTGTGTAGGCTCATGCCCATAATAATATAATGTTCTCATTTATTCCAGTGTTGCCTTGTCCCGTCTGCACTTTCGAAAATGAAGATAAAGATAGAAAGTGCAAAATGTAGATGGGAGCACTTTAGTGGAGCAAACGTCCATTCCCGTTGCTGGCACACAGGTTTGATTTCCTTGGCTTGTTTATCCCTTTACACGGACACTTGTAGGTCACCTTGACATGATGGTGGAGTAGTTATATAATGATGATTCTGGACCACTTCCTCTTAAAGGGGCGATGGAGTAGCCTAGTGGTTAAACGTTCGCTTGTCACGCCCAAGGCCCGTGTAGATGCAAGAACAAATTCCGATACTTGCATCAGAGTTTATTACATCCGTGCAGGTTACAATTTACCAATTCATCAACATTTCATCCTTGAAACTTGGTGAGCACTTTGACAACCAATCAGGCTACGATGAAAACTGATGAGCTCTGATGAGGTTAAAAAATACACTATAAGCAGAAACAATTTCATAATCTGTGCTCATTAATGCACTTTAAACATATTTACTTTTGGCATTAATGAACTCTACAATGCTTATTGAAATTGTACAAGTACATTTGGATGACTAAATATTTGAACAACATTTCGTTGAACTGTTATCAAAATTTGTTTACCAATAATTTGTTATTAATACAAATGATAATAATGCAATAAAGTTGCAGACAGATTACTAATTACAAAGTATTGAAAGAATGAGCGATGATTAAATAGAAACCACCACATTTTACAACATGTTTTTGTCCCCAGCCGCAAAGCGGAACTATGTATTCAGCGGCGTCCGTCCGTACGTCTTAATTCTTGTTAACGCGATATCTCATGAAATGTTGTACCCAATGTCTTCAAATTTGGTGACAGCCTACATTGGGGAATTACCCAGACACCAGTCGATTTGGGTGACCTTGACCTTACCTATCCAGCTCCAACACGTCCCCCGAAACTGGTGTGGAAGATAAAAATGTACAGGGAGGTTTGTACAATGTACTACATACCGGGCACATGAAGTTACATGTCGGTATAGAAAGCAGTTTGCGTGGACCCACGCTTATCATGTCAATCACTAGAATATTTACAGACCGCAATCTTAGAGCTGGATTATTGGGGATTACGGCCTTAAACTACAAACATGCAGATATAGGTCTTTTTTCCTAGGAGCAATTGTCATTGTGAAGTATTTCACTGCTGTTGTGTATCAAATATTTCGGAAATTGATTTTATCATATTGATAAACGTTGTGTAACTACTATATGTTATTTAATGTTATATGGAAAAGTAAATACGTGAATAAATATACACAAAATACAGATAACAGATAACTATATAATCGGACACGCACACACACACACACACACACATACAGGGTGGTCTATTTTAAGGTAGATGTGCTTAATCGCTTCCATTTTTTCCAATGGAAGCAGTTGCAGCTTAATGAACAAGTCTTTTGTTCCCTCGTCTGTTGCTAATGGTGCAGTTGGCGGTGACACTGTCAACAACGCCTCCAGTATGGTCAATAAAGACGAAGAAGTTAGAATTGTTCTTCTTGGACGAACAGGATCCGGAAAAAGTGCATTTGGAAATACAATCCTTCATAAAGATAAGTTTCCCAGTAAAATGAGTGCGACCGCAGTTACTAAAGAATGCAAGCGTGGTACATGCACCAGGTTCGGGCGCAATCTTCAGGTTATTGACACACCAGGGTTGTATGACACAGAAATGTCAAATGAAGACATCTGTCGAGAGGTTGTCAGATGTGTTGGGATGACTGCTCCGGGACCACATGCTTTTATATTCGTTGTCAGAGTTGACAAATTCTCAGAGGAAGAATATAATACAACTGAACATTTCAAGAAACTATTTGGCAGAGGCATGTTGGATTACTTAATCATTCTGTTCACCAAAAAGGATGAGCTTATTTACAATGGTCAAACAATCGAAGATTTTATTGGAAAAGCCTCTGGCAAATTAAAATCATTGCTGAAGGATTGTGATGGCAGATATGTCACATTCAATAATAGAGGATCAGAGAGAGAAAAGGAACGAGATGTTCAGACTTTAGTGGAAGTTATTGATAAGATGGTTCAGGACAACGGAGGGAAGTTTTATACCAATGACATGTTCAAGAAGGCCGAAGAGGTTATGCAAGAAAAGGAAGATCAACTAAAGCGGGAATACGAAGAAACCATGCCATCACAACTTGTTGAGATTGGAAGGCAGTTGAGGAAACTCGAAAAGGACCATGAAGAAACGACCAATAAGTTGTTGAAGAAACTAGAAGAGATTGGTGCAGAACGTAAATCTCCCTCGTCAGCAAGAGATTGCGAGGACATTAGAAAACAGCTTGCAGAATTGAGATTGAATCACGAAAAGGAGATCCAGTCCCTACGAGATATTGGAGCCGGAGTGGTTGCGGTGGATTTTAGAGAACAAGCGCGACGTGAAGCTGAAAGGGATGGCAATTTGTTTAGAGACAAGGTGCTACCTGTACTTCTAGAGAAATTTTGAAGGCAACACTGCCAATACTTGTTGAATTTGGTATTAGTCTCTTACGTTTGAAGTAAAAGGTCATATAGATATCCAAGGAACACAAACACGTCTACAATCAGTGACATAATAATTCAGACGATGGCAATGTAAGAGAATTCTGCGTCCTTATCATGAAGATTTGAAATGTCGTTTATCAACAGGGCAGTAGATTCCAAGCCTTGCTGGTCTTATCCTTGATATAGGTTATACTTAGTTATTTTGTTACATGTGCTTTCACCACTGCTTTGTTTCGTTTCATAAGCATGTCAACATAGTAAGCTGCCTTATATATGCTAGTACAAAACAGACACACGTTCGTTTTTGTTCAGAGCATCTTGATTTCAGGATGCCTTTTAATCCATTTTTCTTTCCTATAGACACATGGACAGGAGTACATTATATGTGTGAATCCCAGTTACATATTGGCTCGATCGTCAGTGTCTGGAGTGGCGACGATGCATTAACGTACTCACCAAATTGACTGGAACTTGTTTCTGTGGAGGTCATAAAGTAAATCTCCACATTGGCGCCGGCGCTTCATGTCGACCTATCAGCTTGAGCAACACATCCACACATCAACTTGTACTCAGGAAGGCGTAGAATAGAAATGATGGCATAAGGTGTTGTGGATGTCATTAACCAGTCGATTAGTACATGATTAGGGATTACCTACACATGATTAGGGGTTACCACACATGATGAGGAGTTCTTAACCCATGCCTAACAAGCCATCTCTTGTAATTACGTGACAATGTGTTGCACAAACTTGGATATGAAATGATGAGACAAATAAATTGTGGCACTACCAAATCCCAGGAACAGCTGTCACTCTGGAGAACTGACAATCATTGAGTGATCGAGAAACAGTAGCAAAATATAACTGTAAAACTAACTCAGCAAACATACTTGTGTATTAAGAAAATGTAATTGTTCAGTACAATGAGCAAACTACCAAAACTAAATTCTGATTGCTCTGGTTTGTAGATAGATGTATTTTTATAATTGGTAGTTTGAATCCGCAAATGAGATTGTAAGTGGTGATCATTAGCCCGTTTTCATACTGTAATTTTTTCTCTTTAGTGAGTTTTTTTCTATAATAACATTCTAGTATTACCTTAATATATGTGATACTCTAGTAGTTTTACTGTCCATCGTTGACAGGTTATTCATCTTTAATTCATAAAATGTACCCGTCCCGATATGGCTGAAATATTGCCGATGTGACGATAAATTTCAACTCACTCACTCAACAGGCAGAGAACACTGTCAGATGGTAACACGCTATCACTGTGGAGACCTGACAATCATTGAGTGATCAAGAAATTGTAACAAAATAAAATAAGACAGTTTATTCAGAAATGTACATATTTCTGTACAGTGAGCAGACTACCAAATTAGTAATCATGTACTTAGAATGTACTTAGAATATAATATGAATAATTACAGATGAATATATGGTTTATCAAGAATATAAGTCAGATAACGTTCAGCACCTTATGATAAGTAAATCCTGACAACAGTGGGGAGTCAACAGTCAGAGAACACTGTCAGATGGTAACAAGCTCATATCAGATTGTAATAGTCACTATTCTAATACAGATCACTGTATTATCAACTACAGAAGAAGCATTCCTGTGTTCAAGTGCTCATAGCTGCTGATAGATACTGCATTGTGTATGTTTCTGTATGTGATAATCTTTGTTATCTCACCCAGTATCATAAATAAATACTTCTGAATTGATATCACACTTTCTTGAGTATGCTTCATTTCTACTGGTTTACATATGCATTGACAATAACTGATGTAAGAAAATGCATCATGATAGATAAACACACGCCCTGTTAGTAACAAATGGGACGTTTATGAATTCAGATCAATATCACGTTCACAATTCAAACGATAATATCAGCATCTCCACATCAACTCCTGCAATTAATACAATTCAGTCCAATGACATCTCATATGGTATGTACAATGTCTTGTTTATGTATGTAAGAGCTTACAAGAATATATGTGTTAAGCCATACAAATACATAGTTGTTTCTTAGAAGTCTCAGGGCGGTGGGGTGGCCTAGTGGTTAAAGCGTTAAAGGGTTCGAATCCCCACATGGGTACAAAGTGTGAAGCCCATTTCTGGTGTCCCCCGCCGTGATATTGCTGGAATGATGCTAAGAGCGGCGTAAAACTAAACTCACTCACTCACTCTTAGAAGTCTCATTTCTTGGAGGTAGTCAAATGACACGGTTATGGTGTGCAACTTGTTTATTGCAATGTGATAGTAAACTTTCAGCAGAATTCCCTTTACCATTATAAAGCAGTCTTGCTCGGGTATAAAGATCAACACTGAACATTTATAGTATAGAGTAATAAAGCAGTCGTCCGTAAATTGTGTTTTGTTAAATACATTCTGACATCACTTTTTAAAAGCAATATCTTACAAACTGAGATATCAATCAATATATGAACGAAAGTATTAAAAAAAATAAATAACATTTTTAGATAAACAGGTTTGATCACAGTGCATAGCGTACTTCATGGCTATTGATCAGTGGACAATCAAATAATGAAATTAATATTGCATACATGCGAATTTTCACAAAGTAGAATATGTTCATGATGCTGAATAGTTACCAAGCTTTTAACTTGGAAAAGTATTTAAGTCATATAACGACATATCCTATCTCAACGTGGCAGAGTGTCGAATGTAATTTTAAAATAAGAGTGTGTGAGTTTAGTTTTACGCCGCTTTTAGCAATATTCCAGCTATATCACGGCGGGGGACACCAGAAATGGGCTTCACATATTGTACCCATGTGGGGAATCGAACCCGGGTCTTCGGCGTGACGAACGAACGCTTTAACCACTACGCTACCCCAAGGCCCTTTAAAATAAGATGTTTCAACACCCATGTGTAACACATAAAGGTGGACACAGTCGTACTTTAGTTTTAAACTAGCATCGTAATATGGATAAAATGTCAATTCAAAACAACAGCCAGCGGATCCTGTTTAACCAAGGGAAACAACTCTGCATAGTGAACTATTTGACGTGTAAGCTCATTGGCATATTGAGTCATGACGAACCTGTCTGCATATGATTCCTCTGACTAGGCACCCGTGAAGAGCCACCTCCTCGAGCTCTTCAACCCCCCGTGTGGACCCGGGGGCATATTTGGTCCACCAACCCGTTTGCCGTGGGTTGCGCCGCTGTGTCGGTGGAGGACGGAAGTCTGGTGGTTGGGGGCACGGGATCCAGGAACAGTGTTCCTTTGCCCAACACACCACTTCGCCCCTTACTTTACCTAGACGGGTGGTAGAATTGCCCGATTCTATCAATCGGCTGGTCATATTGAAATTAATGCGCATATTTTTGAATTCTGATAATGAAAAAACAACAGTCCATAAATCTGTTATCGATCCATCAATTTGTCAATGTTGAGGTTGCTGTTTCGGATCACCGCACACTTAACTCCTGTAGTGGCATTGTTCGGGACAGGACCCGTTCCTTGTCGGACATGTCAGAACAAGAAATTGCACCAGAGTTAAACAAGCAAGGAGTTTCTTCACTGGAGAAAAAATCAGGATTCAAATATTGAACCTACAAATCCATACCTTTTGCGCTATCTAAATTACAAGAGTCTATCAAAGCTGGATATGTAAACATCGGAGTCGAGGTGTATGTCCCCAATCCACCTGGTGTCTTAAGTGTCAAACATTTGGCCATGGTTCTAAGACCTGTATCCGCTCTATGGTTTGTCAACGTTGTGGTGACAACAATGAGAATCCTGACTGCCAACAGGCCATGAAATGTATCAATTGTGATGGCCAGCATATGGCATCCTCTAAACTCTGTCCTGTTTGGCAAACAGAATCGAAAATTCTTAGATTAAAGTGCAAAAAATATCACATTTGGAGAAGCAAGAAAACTCTCAATCGGCTACAGCACCTACACGTACTTATTCAGCTGTTGTTTCGAGACCAACTCAGACTTTATCTGTGTCATGCCAGACTGAGCTGACATGGGTCAAATCTATTCAACCCTTGTCAACTGCACCAGTCATCGAGCTTGACCTAACTAAGGCATCAGCTTCAACACCAGCCTCAGCATCATGCGCAGCGAGTCATACACAGTCAATACAAATCTCTGAGCAATCATCCGCGACAAATCTTGCAAAAGAAAAGAAAGAAAGAAAAAAGTTCAATAAAAGTCAACCCCTCAGGAATCTCACTCAGTCAGATGTACCTGTCCAGAACTCCTATAGTGCTCTGGACATGGAAGTTACTCCATCATCACAGAGTTCTGTGAAGAGTGCTTCGTCATCACGTTCTCGTGTACGATCACCTATTGACCCACCATGAATCATTCATCAAATATAAGTCAGTGGAACTGCACAGGACTTAAGAAATTTTTTAATGAGATACAGTTGATAGCTCAAGACTTTAAACCGTCAGCATTATGCCTACAAGAGACATATCTTAAATGTACTGATACATTTGATCTAAGGCAGTACACATGTCACCACTCATTTTCTCCTCCAGGGCATAAAGCAACACGGAGTGCTTCTATATTAGTCAGAAATAATGTCATTCATAGTGACGTTCACCTGAATATTAATCTTCAAGTCATAGCTATCCGCATTACTTTGCACATTGCATTTACCATGTGCTCACTGTACATTCCACCCTGTATCATCATGGGCGATTTGAACGGGAACAACCCTC